TTTGGCGCTCGAATTTCGGAGACCCATGAGCCCCAGCTTCGCATTCTGACACCCTTGTACTTTTTCTTCGACGGCGGTAACGCCGGAGAGGATCCCACCGCCGTGTTCTCAGCCTTCTTCACCATTGACTATGGATTGATTGTGAATTGGAAAGGAGGCGGAGATTTATATATAGAAGAAGTGTGGATCTAATAGGCTTATCTGATCTGTTAGTCTACACATGCAAGAATGGGGGACAGATGTTTTTTTTTTTTTTTTTAATAGTATTTAATATTAATGTACATGTGATGAAATTACCATTTTGTCCTTATAGTGTATTGAATTGAATTGGTCAAAAATGTGATTTTATTATTTTCGGATGTATATTGTCTGTCTATCATTTTCATTTCCCAAACATTACATCCCTTCTTTCCTAATATATAAATATTTCATTTAAATCATATTTTTGGTCTTTTATTTATTTTTGGATAAATATTAATTATCTCCCATATTCTTTCAATTAAAACCCTAAATTACCCCTAAATTTTATGAATTATATCAATTAAAACCATATATTTTCATAAATTAATTTATTTAATCCTTTATTAAATTGTCATTTTAAAACTACCACTAAATAACAATTAAAATTCTAAAATTTCATAAATTAATTAATATTTTATAATTACTCCTAATTTTTTTTAGAGATATATTAATTTAAACCCTAAATTTTTGTGAATTTGCCAATTTACCCCTCCGTTTTGAAAACTACCTCTAAACTTTATTAAAAACCTAAACTACCCCTAAAACTAACTCTTTTACTTATTATTTGTTATTTAACACTAACACATAAGCCTCCCCAAGCAAACCAACTCCCAATTAATTAACCAAGTTTAAATTTTAGGGGGCACAATGGTAATTTCAAGCTACATTGAATAACGTACATTATATTTAATAAAAAATGATGCTGTACGAACATGAGAAATAAAGATAAAAGAGAGACAAAATCGTATGATAATAATAGTACCAAATAGGCAGCTTCCGAGATTTTGCACTCCCAGATCTTCATTAATGCAAAATCTTCCTAACCTAACTTTTTTTTTTTTTTATATCTTTCTTTCTTTTAAATTAATTTTTTATTTATTTTGAAGTCGGAAAATGACCGAGATTTAAATTTAATTTCTAATTAGTCCTAGTGTCCATTTTAAAATACGAATGAAGATCGTTTGTTCGTCGTATTTAAACTATAATCATCCTAATTGTCAATTGTATTATCACATTATTTAATGACTAAATTCGAACATAAAAAAAAAATCATTTTAAAAATTTTTAAGTATTAAACAAATTAAATAATAATAATAAAAAACAGAGGTTAAAAGAGGAATTACGATCATACCCTTGAAACTTTTCATTTTGTCTTCTCATTTTGAGAAAATAAGGTAGCAATCATGGTTGTACTTCAACCGTGTAACGTTGTGATCTTGACAAGCTCACGACAAGCTTTTAAGAAGAAACTCAAGCCCTATTCACATTTTTCACCCGACGTTGTGGCTTCGTCGAACTTTCGATGAGGTTTGCGTTCATCTACCAAACATTGCTTGTACTGAATCCAAACTTGTTTAGCTACACGTCATTCGTGCGTGCATGTGTCAATCGTTGCAACACAATATGTTGCATCTCATTGTCATCTCGATTCCCAACAACACGATCCACGCACTGTAATGTCATCCATGTCTCGAGACACATCAAGCATCTAAATTTGCTCGAACACATTCATTGGGAACTAACCCATGTGTTAAAGGTTGGATTATACACCCGCTATCCATGCTGTATATAATTTCACGGTTAGTTTTGAATAAAAACGGTTAATAATTTATTTTAAAAATATTTGTTAGAAATTTTTTTAAAAAGTTTTATTAATATTGTTGAAAATTTGAAAGCTATAGCGTGTTTTTTTTTAATATTAATTTAGCTAAATTTTAAATTATAGCTAAATAGGTAGTTTATTCCCATATAAATTATAATTGGATAAGGAAAAGAAAAATATAATTATTTATTAAAGCGGAAAAAAATAAATAAAAAGATCAATGAAATAGAAAGACGCGGAGTCTGATGAAGCTATACAGCTGGTGCTCCACTGTCAGCTGAAAACGCGTTTTACACTATCACTTATCTACTAGTAATTTTATTTTATTTTATTAAATTTGAAATTGATTTTATAAATATTAAAATAAAAATACAGAAAAATGACGTCTCAACTGTTTTTTTAAACGGTTTAGGTTGGAATGACTTGACTTTATTACCCCCATACATATTTCATAATAAATGGTGTGTGGCCAATTTGTAAATTTCCGATTCTGATGGGTACGTACGGCCAATAAAATAAATAAATAACCTCTTTATTTATTGTTATTATATTATTTTCCAGGGGTTTTTTTACAAAATATATATAAATTCGAGGACCAGAAAGCAAAAAAAAAAAAAAAAAAGGCTTTCCAAGCTGGGCCAGTGGGACGGAAATTTGCCATACACTTTCTACTTTTCACTCCCAGATATTCGAACCTAATTTAATAAATAAAATATTTAATTTTTAATTATATTTATTTAAAAATATGATTATTGGATTATTCGACCCTAGTTATTACGTTCCTATGTTGCTTAAATAAAGAAATTTAATTTCGAATCGATGACTTAGTCGACTAAAATAAAGCTCAAAATTTAGCCCTGTCTAACTCTCTATTCTCGAGTTGAATTTAGTTGAACCGTATAATTATTATTTTTAATTATTTAAAAAAATCGTACCCATTAACATTATATATCATATTAACTATTAAAATCTCATCAAATTCATATATAAATTTTTATAAATAATAATGAATCACTATTCATTACAAATATTAAATATTTTTAATATTGGTATGATTTAAAAAAATATATTTTTTAATAATCTTAAAATTTTAATATAATTATTTTTTTAATAATCTTAATTTTAATATAATTATTTTTTTAATTATTTAGAAAAATCGTACTCATTAACTTTATATATCATATTAACTATATATAAATATTTATTAATAATGAATTCATTGATATTAGTTATGAATATTAAATATGACTCAAATTTTTTATTTTTAAAAATTTTGTTTACAAAAAAAATTAGATTTTTTAAAATTGAGTTATGGACATTTTTAATAAAAATCTAAATTATAAACGTTTTATTTACCCTTAAAAAAGGTTATATTATATTAAAAAAAATACTGCCGACTTTTTTTTTTACTAGAAATATGGAGGTCACTCAGTGTACCCTCAAGTTACGATATGAAATCCAAGCCAGCTGTCATATCTTTATAAAAGAATATTCCATTAAATAAATAAATAAAATATATTTATCCGAAAATAAATGTTTTTGTTTTCCCCAAAACAGTACACATTGAAACAAATAGTATCTTATGTCCGTACAAATTACCTCAAAATTAAACAAATTTACATTAAATAATAAACTGAATTTTAATTCCCAAACCCCAATTATAATATTTTCCAAATATGATTATAACTTAATTATTTGATGTTCGAGTTCCAATAAATGTCGTCGCACCCACCAAGGTTTCTAGTTTCGTACCATCAAAATTAATTTTTTTGTTCGTGCGAAATTATAAAAAAAAAAATAATTAATTTAATATTGAAAATTAACTTTTATTCGATTTTGCATGTGGTGTTTTTTGGTATGCGACGATTCAAAATAGGATTTTTTTGTTGTGTCGAGTTTGGAGTTCGGTGGAAGTTTCCTTTTTCATAATGTTAATAAATTTAATATTTGTTTCTTTTTTAATCTCTTCCCTTAAAAATTTAAAAATAATCATAATTTTAATCCATCACTACACAGCTAATTGCACGACTATAATATTGTAACGACTAAATCCATTACTGTTAGATATTGTTCTCTGTGTTTATTAGGCAGATGTTTGTGTTAGATGAACACATACTCTCCATAATGATATGATATTGTCGCATAATCTCTCAATTAGTATGACTTTCATCATTCAACACCTCCCCTTAATCGAGACTTGACTAGACTCCTTTTTCTTTTGGAGTCCTTTGTTCGACACTTGAGGATTCTATTGGCATGACTCTAATACCATGTTAGACGAACACAACTCCCCATAATGATATAATATTATCCACCTTGAGCATAAGTTGTCGTGGCTTTGCTTTGGGGTTCGCCAAAATGCCTCATACCAATGGAGGTAGTATTTATTGATTATAAACCTATGATCATTCCCAAAGTTAGCCGACGTGGGACTTCCATAATTATTCCCTAAATTAGCCGATGTAGGACTTTTATCATCCAACAGTTTGCGTATCATGTGTTTTGTTCTCCTCTTCAACCAACGTACGAACTCAAGAATATTATTAAAAATATGATAATAAAATAGGCAATAAATTGGAGGGTTGGAGGGTTTGTGTAAACCTCTTAACTGGCACTCTGCCACCGTACCTGCCCTCCGTACTCTTCATTCATTGATATCACTATTCACATGACCCTTTCTACATTCCCTGGACCCTCTTTTCATTTTTATTTTTTTATTTTTATTTTTAAATAAAAGGTTTAATTATATATTTTTATTCTTATTTATTTAGTTTTAAAAAATAAAAAATTATATAGTATTTTTATTTATTTATTATTTTACGAAATTTCTAGGAAGTAGAGAAATAAGCAATTAAATAACCGTTACTGAGCAAGATCCACTTGCTTTTATGGCGGATAGCTGTTTCTGTTGCCCGGTCTACGTTGTGATGACGTAATTAAAGCGATTTATTATTTTTATTATTTAATTGCAAATAAAAATTTAATTGGGCTTTATGGTACTAGAAAGCCCAATCTTGACAAAGCGAAGCCCAATACGAAGATACTGTTCAAGATGGGCCTAAGCCCACGTTACGGCCCAAAGACAGCTGGCAGCTTTATTCGCCCTCGTAGCCGGAAAATGGACTAAGATTAAAAATTGTTCTCAAGCAGACCTTTCTGATTGGGCTATTTTTCACCATCCATCGAGAGCCAGAGGGCGAAGAACAAAACATGGCAACGCTTTACCAAGATGCCGAAGCTTGGAACGTAGTAAGCCGTTTCCGGAGGCTATCAAATGTCCAATCCATGGCGTCGGTAAGAAACTCCTTATTGTTGATTTCGGATTGAATTGCATGAGAGCCACGATTCATTGTAGAGACAGCTATGGAATTGTTTACGAGCATGAACTTAGGTGATTTCTCAGAAATCTGTTCAGGTGTAATCGTATTGTGTGCTTTGAATTTGTGGTGGTCGTTCGTATTGTTTTACTTTGTTAGTCGTAAGCTGCCGCTCTCGGAGGCGCTGTGGCTAACCATTTCGAGATTTGGAACTGTCTGTCTGATGATCTTCGCCTTGGTTCTGGCAGAGTACTGTTCTTGACTACGACGAAGATGATAATGCCACTTCGCCTACCATCTCTGTGATGGCAAGTTGTTGCGTGTGATTGATCATTTGCCTATCTATAATTTTTGTGATTTTTCCGTTTTGATGTTCGGCGGACAAATGTGAGGTCTACTTGCGGCAAGAATCTTCCCGCGAGAAAAATGCGAGTGGTGGATTCGGATTTTCGACCGAAGAACCTGGAATCTACACGGCCTGTTTCGCGGAAGATGGCGGCAACCGCGACGGAGAGGAGAGCAGCTCCCATGATTTAAATAGCCTCGGTATTCTCGTTTATATTAAAACTAATAATAATAAGAATAAAGAACAATAATAAGTCTAAAAATGGAAATTACATTTTGGAAAGCCATTTTTCTCAGCAGCTGGGGGATTCAAAATCGAAAGAATCCAATTCCAATTTCCAATCTCCGGCAACGCGAGATTCACCTGTAAGAATGATATCTATAGCCGCTATGATAGTCCCTCGACCTTCTTCTTCATAATTACTGCTCAAAGCGCAAACAGCCCGTCGGATTTTGACTCCTTCGGCTTCATCATCGCAAACTGATTCTTTACTTGAAGCCCGGATGCTGTTTGTGCGATGATCTCAAAGAAAAACTGCAAGCCGCCTATCTGATCGCCGGCTCCGATTCTCTCCACGATGTTGGTTTGCAGGCACTCACTTCACAGCCCCCTTTCATTGTATTTGTCGTTCCTTTACTGTTGTAAGCGCTTTAATTTGATATGTGATGTTTATTTTCAAGTAGGTGAGGGATATCACTACTAACCCAGAATGGGAGAGAGCTGACCAGTATGGGATTCCCGTGCTCGCGAAAGTGCTCTCCAATGGCTCGGAGGTTGGTTGTATTCATTCATTCTTGTGATTCTGATAAGTAAGAACATGTATTTTGGTTGTTTTAGCTTATTTGGAAGGAGTGTATCGATTTCAGATTTGCGGAGCTCTTCCTGGGGCTTCTAATCTAGAATTGTGCTTATGGATTTATAAAATGATCAAATGTTTGTGCACTGCTTGTTTCCGTCCCCTGCTTGTTTTTAAATCCTTGGCTGGTGTTGTACTGAAATTCTATTTTCCAGGCACTAGATTAGTAACCCCTTGTTCTTGCATTTAACGTTGGAGTTTGAGGTTCCAATGAGTTGGTCACCTCGTCTTCTGTCCTCATTTAAGTTATTGATGACTATAATTATGAATCCTGTTGGGTCTGTGATTAATCCAACAAGGAAGGCTTTTATCAATGTACTGATAACTGTGTTCCATCTGCTTGATTCAAGTACTTTCGTCCTATTTTTTGTAATTTGTTTATTGACTGTTATAAGTATTTTGTTTCCTTGGTTTGTCTCTTCCTATTCTTTCTTGCCATAGCATACAGTATAATGTGGAAATAAGCCAGTAATAGAGTGTCTAAAGTCATATTAAGTGAAGGAAGATCAAAAAAAAAATAATAAAAATAAAAAGGAAATAGAAAACCTTGCAATCTAGGATTCTGAACCACTGAATAGTTCATTTCTTCAATTAAGATTTGATATGCTATGTATCCTGACCTTATCTACATAGAAGGCTTCCTCTAAAAATACGTTTCTTTGGTGTCTGAAACTGAGACAGTCCGCGTTGGTTGTCTTACTGCATTTTAGGAATCAGTATGGGATACAATAGCGTTTAAATCTTAATATACTTGTCCTGTTTTATCAAAGAAACCTACTGATTCAATATGACATGCAACAAAAGAAGTCTTCTGGGGATGGCTTTCAGCTCACTTGGATCTATCCATAATAACATCCCTGATAAACATTTATTGAATGCCAGTGAATCAAAAGGGCTTTACCGATGATGGCTTGTTGAAAGGATGATAACGTTTAAATGAACTCGATAGATTTGCACGTTTTTGTAGATCTTATGAATATTCTAAATTACCTGACATCTTGAACTAAGGGATTGGGTTGTTAATATTAATACTATATTGTTAAACATGGAGAGGCCTATTCCAATTGAAACTCCTGTGTGGAAAAGATAGACCTGAAGCAGAATCCTCTTATACTATCAAGGTTGCACATGGTTACTTCTACTTCCATTTCCCGTGCTTAAATATTCTGTACTAGACCTACACCTTCCTGGAACTCTTTGTATGAACGAATGGGATATGGGTTTCTTTCTTAGAGAGGAAAATATGAAACAAATAAGCTATTGGGAGGGTTTTACTGTGAACTGTCAAAATCAAAATGACGAACAAGGTGGCTATATGGCAAAGAAAAACACAATTAATATGAAGATGCAAGTAACATAGAGATCCATACATTCTAAATATTCTCTCATATTAGTTTCATCACTCTGTTAGTAGCAAGTTAGCATTTGGAAAGCTCTAAGTAGTGAATTTATCTCTCTCCTTAATCACCCCTCAACCTACGGAGGAGTGTGGGTGAAATTGAGTTTGTCGCCTAAGTGGCATCTATAAAGAAAATAAAGCAAAGATAATTTGACACAAACTGTTGAACTATTCTTTTTTGTTTTTGCTGGGATGCGAAATCTTAAAAACCCTCCTTTCGAGCATGGGGCGTACCCGACTGAGGAGGTGCATTACCCATGTTCAATTATTCTCGTACAACTCTTTTCTAGTTTGACTGAGAGGAAATTGTTGCAAAATAGGTGTCACTTAGAGGTTTTGCCTTTTGATTGAAAAGAATAAGAGGAAAGGGCTATTATCACAAAAATCAGTTACCAAAGAAGATGAGAGATCTCCCTATAAATCAAGTAACTTACAAATATGCATCTCGATTGGCATGAATCAAAGGAAAGGCTATAATCACAAAGGCTATAACTCTGCAATTTTTGAAAGTATTTCAGCAGTCCATTTACACTATGCCATCATGAGGATACTTCAATGGTTAAGACATTTCTACTTCCTTGAAGAAGTTATAGGTTCAAATCTCCACCTCCAGCTGCGTTGTAATATCGCCAATACAGTTATTAAAAGTGGGAAATATTAGTGTACTTATTTAAAGAACACTATCACTTTTTAAGACCTTTTAAGTTCAAAATTCTTCAAGCCAGATGGAGTATGCCTTTTGTTTTTCCTGCCGAGGTAGCTTGATATGGGGTGTTGGTACATTTATAACCTTATTCTTTCTTCTCCCAAATTGTATGACGAATATCTCACTTACTTTACTATGTTCACTTTATCTTTCCTTTTCCTTTTACTAAGGGGGGAGTTGAAAAGTAGTTTTTATTTTACTTTATTTACAGTAATAATTTTTCATCTGATATTTTTTTATAATATACTGACTTGGATAGTTATTGTTTATTCTGATACTTGTTCCTGGTCAGATTTTGAGAAAATAAATTAAACAATCTTGCAATCCCAGAAAATAAATAACTATGCAGTGTGGTTCTTGAAATTATATATTCTATAATTGAATTTGACTACTGCACGTTCTTGTGGGATATTTTTGATTATAAGATGTTGTATCTGGACAAATGTTCATTTTTTCTTTTAGTTTTTGTGTATTCCTGCAGACTTACATATGCCGTGCTTCTGTTTACTTAGGTTCAATGTCTTCATCTTTTTCTGCCTTCTTTTGGACTCTCTTTATATGATGCCTTACACGATTTGAGTTTGTGTTGATAGTTTAGTTTAATTTTCTTTCTCCATCTTAACGTCATTCCAAACTTTATGAACATTTTCCATCATTAAGATTATTCAGTGGATACATTGTCTTTTCTTGAAGTTCCTGTAAAATTTGTTTCAATTACTTTATGGATGTTATGTAGCCTGAAAATTTTCATAGTTAAGACAACCTACCTACTTAAAGTAATCATGTGATTAGCTTCACACATGCTTATCTACAAAAGCTTCTCTTTTAAATGATAGCATTCGAGATTACCATTCCTTTGATGTTTGACCTCTAACCCTCAAAAGTAGTTAGATTTCTTGTACTTGCTAATATCCCACGTGTGATAGCTGCAGATTTATAGATCTAGGTCATCTGTTTTTCTGTAATTTACTAAACCAGTCGCGTATCGTGTATTTCTAGTATCTCGTAAGAGATAGCAGCAGAGTTAGAAATCTAGGTCAGGTGTATTAATTGTACTATACACCTTTATGTATGTTGTGTTATACACTGGTTTTATTATTTAATAGAGCTCAGGATAAACAAATGTTTATATTTTATATGTAGAAAACTGTTCTCCTTTTTACTAGATACCGAGTAATATTCTCAATTATTCCATTTGGGTTACTTGGCATTAGAGATATCCAGATGTATGTAGAGTTTATCTATCTTTATTTGCTTTTTTTTTTCTTTTTGTCTTCCATTTCTATCTCAAGTAGTCCTTTTCAGATATACTTAGTTACGCAGACGGCAAGTTAGCTTATTGATCTGGTTTCTATGATTTTTGTTCATTGCTCTCTTATATTTTGGGGTCAGGAGATTTCCTTATGTTGTGTACTGTTTCCTGATGTCATGAACTAATATGCACTAGAAACACAAAAGCAATTGCAGACAATTGCTGATCCTGACTCATTGCTCACTGATGGATGTGGATTCCATTTTTTGTATTATTGTTCATCTTTTGGCCCAATTTTCATTCAAGGAAGCTTGCTTTCAATTGATGGTACTCTCTTTAACACCAGTGCGACGTGTCAATTGAAGAAAATTGATGCAATATTTGTGTTCGAAAGTTCTTCTTAGACTCTGGAGATATACTGTCCTTTCATCTTTCCTTTTCCTCTCTTTTGGGTGCTTTTGCTTGGCTGAACATTTTTTAGTAATGCTACACACATTGCTTCCCTTTTTCATGTGCAATTCAATTATTCTTGAATCTGAAATTCATAGAGAAACTTTATACACTTGTTATTAAAATTCTGATCTCCACAGGCTGTAATGTAATAGAAAAAAAAGAGTTAAATAAATACTTTATTCCATCAACTTGAGATTAAAAAAAAAAAAAACAAGGACCATTGATGCATCGTGTGGCTTCTTTTCTTCACCAAAAGAAATTTATGTCGCTTTCACTTTCTAATATACCATGTTTGACCTGTTTCTCTTTGCATGAAATTATTGACCATCATTATCATAATGTGTTCAAATACGCCATCGATTCCCACTCTTTCTTTCTTTCTTTCATTTATTTTTCTTTTAGTGAAAGTGAAAAGTCGTCCATTTATGCTTCAGAAAGGGTTTGCAAAAGAAGGTAGAAGGCCGTGGAGGGGAAAAAGGGCAGAAAAGTAGAGATTTTGACCTGGTCAAAAGTTGCAAACATGAACAAACACAACATTCATTTGAAGGTTTTGTAGGTTTCTTATCTCCACATGATTACCAGAGTTCCAAACTTGTAAGTTAACTCAATCTCTTCTGGGTTCATTGCAAAAACCTCTCTTTTTGTTATAATTGATCTGTTCTTATATTGTGACAGCTCAAAAAAGAAAAGGCCATGATAGTTCTGTTCATGAAGGGGAGGATCATTCATTTACCCGACTTCCCCGGCCGACCACGCCATCCGTTTTGGTAAACCTCAAATTTAACTGTTAGATTCTGTTTGTTCTTTATGATTGCTTGATTGATGATTCTGAATCTCCCAATGGCAAATGAATCTCCTGTACTCTTTTTGAAATCTGATTCAAGATTTACCTTGCCACACTCAAGCTAGGCTGTTTTGCTTTCCTCAATTGCTCCTCTGACTGGCTTTACCGTGTCAATCAATCACCAAACACTTGCTGCCAAAACAAAGGCGCTTTTTGCTTTCTTTCTTTTGGGTGTATTGCAATGACAAGGTTTGGTTTGATTTCTTTGGCTAGTAGATATTATCCTCAAGGTTTTTAAAATGCGTCGGTTAGGGGAGGTTTCCATACCTTTATAAAGAATGCTTTGTTCTCCTCTTCAATTGTTGTGTGATCTCACAATCGACCTACTTAAAGAGCCCAGCATCCTCACTCGCACTCGTTCCTCTCTCAAATCGATGTGAGATCTCACAATCCACCTCACTTTAAGGTCCAATGTCCTTGCTGACACTCGTTCCTCTCTCCAATCGATGTGGGATCTCACATCTTTGATCCCTACCCCAAACAAACTCCAATTCTTTTTCCATTTCCTTTTGAGAAAAGGATGAACAAACTTTATATGAATGGGGTCTCTTGCTTTGGAGTTGTTATTTCTTGTTTTACACAATCAAAGTGCCCAATAATTAGATTAGATTCCTTTAGTAGCACTTGGGATTTGTAATTTAATGGCAAACTTATTTTCATACAACTTTTAATAACTCTCACTTTATAACAATTTCTTTCTTTCTTGATCATGTAGTGTATGTATATCTTGTTTGCCAGATCCTTCTTCAAGCTTTTCCCTTTTTATTTTCAATTTTTTTTAGGGTTTTTGGTGTGTTCTTACAAAGACATCTACTTAAATTATTCATTCATGCATGACAACTGGGTCAATTTATGAATGATTTAAAGTTAGTGAATCATCTTGTTGGAATTTGGAAGTGTGAGGGGGCATTTTGAAATTGTACTTTTTTTAGGGTGGAATTGTACTTAAATAATAATCTTCTGATTTTCAAGACATGTCTCCTAGGAGAATCTCTAGATTTCTATGATTATTATTATTATTATTATTTTAACCATGCTTTTCTTTGATCTAGGGAATAAATGTGTAATTTAACTTAAAAATAAATTATTTGGCAAAATTTTAATTTTCTTCGAACTATAGAGGTCAAATATGTAATTTAACTTGAAAAAGTAAACTATTTACCGAGTCGGTGATTGGAACAATAATTAAGTCGATCGATTGATTGGTATGAATATTTTTATTAAAATTAGGTAACAGTTGTATAATTACTTTATATTTATATATATAATATGTGCAAATCTTTTGGAAATTGACTCTATAATTCAAACTTTTTAATTCACTCTTTTGTCTTTATGTATTTTTGTATATTAAACTTTAAAATAATGTTTGATAATTATTTGGAAAGCTTCTAAACACGTTTTATTCTTATGAATTGTTATATACTTTTTAATAAATACTTTTAAAATTCAAATAAACTTTTGAAAACTAAAAAGTCCTTTAAAAAGTAATGTTTATTTTTAAAATTTAACCAATAATACTGAGAAGTTGTGAGGAAAAGCTTAATTTTGAAAAATTATTTTTAAAAATTAAGTAAATAATTTATTTTAAAGCTTAAGAAAGTGCTTTCTAGAAATTGTTTTTCTCCGGTAAATAATTTACTTACTAATACACAAATTATTAATTTAATAATTTACCAAAATTCATTGATTTCAACCGTGAATATCTAGCCTTTTCTAAAATTTTATTAATTTATTTCATATTGTACATATATATAATTCTATTTATAATAAATATTAATTATATGGTTAAAACGACATCTCTTTACTACGACAATTTTAAAGTTTTAAGGTAAAGATTGATATGATATGACAAGTTTATTTGATTTTCTCCTATTTTTAATAAAAATATACTCGAAATATCTTAAAAAGTGGAAACTTTTCTTTATGGAATTTAATATGAATGTAAATGGGTTGTATTATTCCGTCCTATTTAATTATAGATTGAACCTCACCTACAGATCATTAGATGCATGAGCTTGTTTCAATTATTGTACTTTCCGTGGTTAAATATTAGTTCTTAAACATCTACTTGCTTATTAAGGTTTAAATTTCTTAGTTTAGTGTGTCAGGGTTAAAATATACGTATATATTAAACATGTTCTTAATAATGGATGAATCTTCAATTCGAGCATAGTTCAGTGAATAAAATATTATAGACAATGAATGTATTTTTTTAGGGTAATACCATGAGCTAGGTTTTAATTACTTCATTAAATTTTAATTTTTTTAAAGCCTTTTCAAAAATACCCTTGATATTAAAATAAATAAAAATAAATCTATATCGTCTGTTGATATAAAATACGATATCCGATGTGTAAAAGTTAGAAGACATCCACGACATTATTCAACACTATATATAAAATTAAGATTATTGTTACCATTTATGACCTTTAAATCTTCTACCTACTCAATGTTTACGAATAAATAAGAAAATATTTTATATAATTTTATGATATGACATGAAAAAAAAATGATACTTGATTTGATATAACTATATCCGACATATTAATCAACCAAGATTTGAATAATTTCTAGAATATTGTTTTTAAATATCCTTTATTTATTATTTTTATTTTTTAATCCTTTATTTTATTTTATTTATATTGCTTGTATAGATAATAAAGACTCACCCCACTTATTTTCTATAAAAAAAATCCAACCACAAATAATTTTTTTTTCAAATGATTTAGTGACGTGGCCTCCAATTAGCCGTCTATGTGGAAAAATATGCGCCACGTCGACATAATTTCAATCCTAAAATCAAACCACACATTTGTTTCACTTTTCCAAACCATAATTTATTGTGATTAATAACATTATATTTCTCCAAATTTTTATTATTAATTGTTAAATTATAACGATAAATAAAATGCGACTAAGAACTGGTCCAAGCGAAAATCATCAATCGAGAATTGTCTAGCTCAACTTTATGCAACGTGGCTCAATTTTTAAAAGAAGAACGATGTCTCGAGATCATTGAATTCGTTCGATCAAATTGATTTTGACTTCAATCATTAGATCAGTTGTCTCAATTTTCGTGAAAAGCCGTGTTCAAAATCAAGACGAATTCCTTTTTTTTTTTTTTTAATAAAATAAAGATTAAAAAAAAAGATAAAATCATTGGTAATAAATATCTTATTTATTTAGTTAATGGGTTTCAACCAAATTTTTTAATAATAATAATAAAAAAAGTCATTAATTATATATTTATAATAAATAAATAATCTCCCAACAAAATCTCTAACTACTCTTTAACCTGATTTGTTTTTATTTAATAAAATATATTAATCATTGAAATTAGTCAAATATAAACTAATAAAAATTTAATCTCTTAATAAAGTAACCATAAATATTCTAATATATATATATATATATATATATATATATATATATATATATTTTAACTATAATTGGAATGGCTTTTTTTTGGACGGAATTGCCCTCGGGCAATAATTTTGTTTATATTCGAGAGTGAATTTTGTATGACGAGGATTTCACCAACAAAAGTCGGCCACTAATTATCTAATTATTTCAAGTGTTTTTTTTAATTATTTGATTTTAAGTCCATTAATTAATTCTTCCATAATTAATATTTATTTCCGTTAATGATTGGTGATTCGGATGCTACAAAAATTTAATATTATTTAATTTGTTGCTGATGTCAATATTATCTTTTGCACTTAGGAATTTTTAATTTAATAAAATATTATAAGAATACATTAAAATAATCAAACATATTAAAATTTTAAATCTTATTTATATTTAAAAGTTAATTTAAATATGGTATATAAAGAATATAATACGGAAAAAAAATGAGGATAGGTACTAGGATATTCAAATGACCTGAGAACTCGACCAACCCAACTACTTAAATCAAACCATAAAAAATTGGGTTAAGTTAATTTTTTTTAGTATTCAAAAAATTTGTGTCGGTTTGTAGATTGACACTTTTTGGTCAGGTTAACGTGTCCAACCTGAAATTAGGGTTACAAATTAATTGAAGCGTATCCTACTTTTAAGATTATTATGAAAATTAAAAATATTTGACGTTTGTAACCGATGTTAGTGATGACTTATGAATGTTTGATATTTGAGATTTATGAGATTCTAGTTACGGAACATGTAAGTTAGGTAAATAAAATTTGTTAAATAACTAAAAAAACCAACAACCTGAGTTGGGTTTTTAACTGTTGCTCGGGTCATCAAACCAACGATTTAAAATTTTGGGTTGGTCCAAAAAAATTTCTCAACCCAACCCGTATACGCCCCTATTCTTTACACTTACTATACACAACGAGTTAGCATGACGTTTAAAACCATACAAAACGATTATAGTACATAATTAACGAAACACGATCGATCATCACTATCTACCTTCTAAAGAATAGCATTAAATTCCAAACATCACTTCCGGTTCGTTATCAAATATATTCGAGATTCATTAACTAAGCAAAACACGTTTAAGAATAAAAGGACACAAATATTCGATTTATTCAACCGAATCGGAATATTTTGTATAAATTATCGAATTATATACCTTCATCGCCTATTTGTATTGAATCTTTATAACAATAGTGCTGTCCACTCTTCAAACACATATGAACAATTAAATACCCAAAAAATAAAATAAATAAATAAATAAATAAATTCCACACAAACCAATTAATGGGTCATTTGCTAGAGAGCACTAACCCAACCCAGTTGATATCCTTTATTACATGAATCAATTTTCCACTTCACAAAATAAAATAATAATTATTTTTTTTCTTCATATAAATCCAAATATTAGCTCAGCTTTTTACATTCCCACTCAAAAAAAAAAAAAAAAAAAAAAAAAAAAAAAAAAAAAAAAAAAAAAAAAAAAAAAAAAAAAAAAAAAAAAA